TAGCGTAAGGCAGATGGCAGGCTTTAAAATGGGTTGCATCACCCTTTGCTGCCACGCCATAAAGAGTGACCATCCAACCAAGCCATGACTCCGTGGTATTTAAGCGTCTGCAGTGCATAGGACGATGAATACCTCGCATCACTGTGTGATGACTGAACAATTACATATTCGAGCATCAACAAACTTGCCACCACCCGTTGGCAAGTGGAAGGAAAATAATATATGACCCGAATGGCACAGGGGAGATACGAATGGCAGCGTTCCGACGTCGCCGCCGGAAAACATTATTTTTCAATCACTGACACCAGATTTACGCGGCGAAAACTGTATAGAAAAGACTGCATCTCTGTATCAAGATTGTCATAAATCTTGCATTGCCGCAGTATTGCTGCAAAGTAAGGGGCTTTACTGCGCAGTTTTCACTCAGTGTAAATTCGATATCTATAGTTGAGAGAAAATATTTGCTGTGGTGCAATGGGAATGTTCATTCTTGGTGTAAAAGAGTTAATGCTTACGAAGCGTCTTTGAGAGGAATTTAAAGGGTTAGATTTAAAATATAGGAACTAATTTATGTATTCCTTGTTATTTACATGCATTGAGGCATTGACCTCCTCACCATTATTAATTCTTGTAATTGACGATTACGAAACCGCGGAACAATATTCGCTGGAGCATGTTAGAATGCTGAGAAATGGTTAACCTTAATTCGATGAGATTTCAAAAGAAAATGATTCCTCTTTCAGAGAGGTGAAGATTATTGACGTAGCCTTATGGATCGCCTCTGAAAGCTCTTTAACTTAATTCCTTGTTTTAAAAAGTATCAAATTGAATTCATTTTAATTAATTGGCCTGCTGATCATTATGCCATTTATATGAATAAATATTTGTGGTTGAGAAAATGCACGATTTAAGTAGTTTTCTGTTAACAGATGAAACCGCTATGCTGTCACTACGCTACGAGACAGCTCACAATGCCGCTTCCTCTGACAGCAACATCTGATCTTGGGCTAAATTAAACTACTAACGCAAGCTGGAGGTTGTTTATCCCAGAGTTAGAGCTTCGACCTCTCTCTAATGTCCCTTGATATGAATTGTTTTCTTCATTAGCCATGACCGCTGGGCACGGCCGACCGTCTGTTCGAAGTTTGAAGATGCTTTGCGAACTGTGGTTTGGTGTTCTTTCCGTTCACACGTTGCTGGTTCAGTGTTCACAACGCTTTCTTTGCACAGGCAATTCTCGAAGCGTTGTACGCGTTGTAATCGCATCCTATCGCCGAAGGACCTGGTAATGCGAGCCAAAGAGCACATCTTCCACGTACATTGCTTCAGCTGCATCGACTGCGCCGTGCCGCTGATGCCCGGTGAGCTGTTTGGCTTGGGCCAGAATGGCATCCTGTACTGCAAGGAACATTGCAGTTCTGTGCTCGACTTGTCCGGCTTTCGGACGACGGCTGCCGCTGGTGGGAACGGAAATGGCAGTATTGGCAGCGGAAGCGGTGCAACTTCTTGCATTGAGCGACCTCAATGCGATTTCACTCTTTTCCACCCTGTCAGTGACGTTCGCAAAACGAAAATGATGCGTCGCAAGACAACGGCTAAATTTTCGAACCTCTGTTCAGGTAACTTGTTTCCTTAGCTATCGTACAACGGCTTTGGCTGCATAGCCTACTACCTGGAATGCACATGATGTCACCATATTTAATTAATAATTTCGATCTTCGTATTGGAATTAGAATAATTAGGCATCAGCGTGATTAATGTATGAACTATATAAGTTACTTTGTAGCTGAGCCAGTTCGAAACTAAGAATAAGAATGATTTTTTAATAGTCTGAATTGAAGAAACAGTTGTTTGTCATCACCAGTTTAATTTTGCGAAACGCTCAGCTTTAATCCAGACATGCCGTACAGACAGCCTAAAAAACCGTTGTTTTACAGTGAGTTTAACAACATTTAATGACAAAATAAATATCTAAATTTCGTGGCCCAGATAGAAACGTCAAATCCTGATTTCTATCACCACAGTTAAACATGAAAACTGTCTTCAGCGTTGCAATTCTGAAAAGATACATTCAAGCAATTATTTTTAACCTTCATCATCTTCATCTTCCATCGCCGCTTCTCCTTTCGGGTCGCGGAGGCAGACGCGTCAGACAGTG